ACTTCGCTGTACGTATATATGTTATTCTTGAATTTTTTGTTTAATTCTGATTGGTCGAAATGTAGTACAAATCTTGTATTATCGAGAATTTTTGGTGATGTTTTTGGGTAGTGTTTTAAACCACATAATTTTGGTCGGCTGGCTTAGCCAGCCGACTAAAACATCGGCTAAGAAGCTAGCTAACGGCTGGCTAATACAGTTTTATTTTTTAAATATAAAAACCAATTAATCCAGTTTCAAACTCTACAAAATTACAGTTTTTAATTACTAAATATATACAATAATTAACATATATATTTTTTAATATAATTTTAAAATTCAAAAATTCAAAAGTTCAATTATTTAAAATTATTTTAGTAAATTTTAAATTCTATTCAAACTCCAAAACTTCATCCTGAAACTCAAACCAAATCCCAAACTCAATCATCCTAAATTATAAACAAAAATATAATAAAATCATTCTAGATCAAAACACAATAATTTTAAATTCCAAGTATAATACTCCAAATCTAAAATCTTAGAGTTTTTTTAGCAAATATATGTTTGAATTTAGTTAGTTCATATCAGTGAATTGTAGAATATGTCTAAATTAAAATCTCTGGATTTAATAATTGCAGAAGCATAATAGCTAAAATTTGGAAGTTAGCTTTACAATTGCATTGTTAAAATATGTGAACTTTAATTTAGGTCAATTCTGCAAATTCGCTGATACTCTATATTAAAATATTGCAAAAAAAACCATTCGCATTTTCAATATAATTAGAGTTGAACAAATTCTACAAATCTGTCAGCCTATCAAATATAGTAATATTTAAAAATTAGCAAACACTAGTACTTACCAATATTTCTAATACTATATTTTACCGATCAGTTAAAAGTCAACAATTATACCATATAGCTATGAAATAATGCATCTCTGCGCATTATTTTGGGACATTCATGTGCATTATTTTGAAACAAAGGTAAAAATTTAAGTCTAATACAAAGTGGGTGTTATTTTAGAATGCATTTAGACATTATTTTAAATCAAAATATAATGTTTTTAAAGAATGCAATTTTTGAAATAACACTCTTTTGTTATTTTGCACCTATACAGTATATTGTTAGTAATATTATAATAGAGTTCCAATCCGAATAAATCTGTTATCTATTTATCCATATCTGATTTATTCAGATATCCTTTTACTATTGATATCCAGATAATCTGACAGATATTCAGATATATAAATGGATGTGATAGTAAATAGATATCTGAATAAATTCAGAGATATCTGATAATTATCTGGATAAATGCTAACTGGATCGGAACTCTACATTATAAAATAAAATATAGTCGGGATAGATTGCTGAGAAACATTCTCTATGCTATTTGCAAAATATCTTTAAAAATACCTTGTTAACATACTGTAATAGCATTGAAAATAGATTATCAATAATGTGTATTTTAGAAATATGTGACTGAATCTATTCAAGTATAGTTAAGTAGGATGTTTGCAATTCTGATGCTATATTAAAGAACTCTACTACTATTAGAAGATTTGATAACTTTTTTTAACAAATAAAAAATCAAACAAAGAAAAAAAAATACTCATTTTAGACATAGACTTTATTTACTAATAATCTATTTTCTTTAGCCAGGTCCTACACAATTTTTGTCACAATAAGTTTCTGGGCACTAAATAAAGATAACATCGAATAATATATTATGCTGTAAATTCATAGCAATAATGCTATAATAATAAGCAAATGCATATGTATACATGCATAAATATACACTATTATTGTTCATGATTTGACACTATTATTGACGCCATACGGTCTAGCTTCTCTTATTCGTTTAGCAAAAATAATTTCTATTTTATTTAGTATACTTATAGTAATTAGAATTCTGAGAAAATAACGTTTATAATATACTTGCTATTAGCCTGCCGTAGAGAATCAATCCGCTATCCATTTATCCACATAGCTTTATCTAGATATCCCTCTTATTAGATTTGATATCTGAATAAATTCAACCGAATTTTCTGATGTGTCGGGATTACAAGTTCTAAGGTAATTAGCAATATAAATTAGAGAAATTCTATTTTTATTCAAATTACCCTAATTATATTGTTGATTACTTTAGAACTTGTAATTGTCAAATGAATTTATACTGTCGATTACTTAAAAACTTGTAATTGTTAAGTGAATCTGAATTCATCTATTAATCTATTTTAACCGATTATCTATTAAATATCAGAAATCCAATAAATAAATAGATAAATGGCTTATGGATTAGAACTTTAGCCTGCCACTATATAGATACAATCGTGTACATTATTCTGATTGTGAAAGTTACTTTTGCTTCAGATGAAAAAATAAAATCCCATTCATCATTATTTACTGAGAATACGACTAATCGAGTATCTAAAAAAAAAAAAAAAAAAAATTAAATTACAGTATAAAATCAATATAAATAACAAAAAAAAAAAGTATATAAACAAATTAAAGTGATAAGTATTAAAATAATTTGATCCTTTTATTTTTCTTCTGCTCGCAATAAAAAAGTTCTGTAAACAAAATTTAAAATATAATGTCAACAAATGATCCTTATCAGTTTAGTTCTTACAATGATACTATAACCTGGTCTAATGAAGATGAGTTTGAGTTAGATGCATTGAGTATAGCAGAAAATTTATATAACTCAGATTCTGAATCCAATTCAAGCACACCGGATCAATCTACATCACAAAATACTAGCGTCACTGTTACAAACAGCTTAGGTAAACGAGTTCGAAAAAAGAAAGCCCTTATTTATACTAAACAAAGAGAAAAAAGTTGGATGTGGTTTTATTTTAAACGAAGCCAACCTGACAAAAAGATATATTGCCAAGTTAAAGTCACAAATGATGATGGTAATAAAGAATCCTGCAATCATGATTATGAATTAACAACCAGAACAGGAAATTTAAAGGCCCATCTTTGCCAAATTCATAGAATTTTGCTTCCTGAAAAAAGCAATAGCAATTCATTAACCAAAATTGTTTCAAATCAGTCATCATTAGATGATTTTATGAATAAAAAAACACCTCTACCTTCTTTAAAACAAGAAAAAATTGCAAATTATATTTTAGCTTGGATTATAGATGATCTTCAACCTTTTAATGCCACTACTAATAACTGCTTTCGAGATCTTATTCTTGAGTGTGAGCCGAGATTCAAGTTTCCATGTTACGATCAACTAAAAGAAAAATTAATGCAATCAATATCAATTGCTAAACGACAGCTTAAAGATCTATTACAAACAATGATGGATTCTTTCTGTTTTACAACAGACCTGTGGTCTCAAGCTCATCAACCTTATATTGCCATAACTATTTATTAGATTAATACTGAATTTTCTTTATACCAAGCCCTTCTTACAATCTAAAAGTTTGATTACCCGCATACTGGTGATTGAATCGAAGACTTCTGCTGACAACTTTTTGACAATTGGGGAATATACAATAAACTTTTTGGTGCATCGACTGATAATGCCTCTGCAATGATTAAAGCAATGGAGCAACTTGGCATTGAGCATATAGGTATAAAATTATATTTTTATAGCCACTATAATTTATTAATTATTATTATATAATAAATTAAATATTAATCTTTGACAGCTATTTTATAAATTCTAAAACAACTAATAAAAATTATTTCAGCCAAATTCGATAAGTTTTTAAATTCAGTATTATCAGAATTAGATTTTCAGCATTACAGTATTTCGATGACACCAAATTCAAAAACTTATCAAATTCGGCTAATCAGTTTTTATTAATTGTCCCAAAATTTATAAAAATAGCTGTAATAAAAATTACATAAATTTTATTTAAAGAAACTTATATAAAATGATATAATGTTATAATAACTTTACAAATCTTATATATAGGCTATATGGCACAAACGATTCAGCTCGCATTAGGAGATGGATTTGGTATTATAGAAGTTAATGGCTTGATTAATAAAGCAAAAGCATTAAATAGTTACGTAAATGGTAAAAATAAATATCATGAGCAACTTTATACATTACAAGCGACACTAAATCCACAACATCTAATTAGCCCTCTTTCAAGTGATACTAAGACCTGCTGGAATTCAACCTATAATCTTTTAAAAAACCTTCTTCTTCTTCGTAATGCTATTGAACGGCTGGCTAATGATTTAAAACAAAGCATTAATCAACAAGAAAGACAAGATGGAGTAAAAGTTTTAGAGCTTCTTTTGTTAGTTGAAGAATGGAATTCATTAGATGAATTAGCAAACCTTTTGCATCCTTTTGCACAAACGACTGGATATATTGAAAGAAATCAGTACCCTACTTTAGGAATGATGATACCTACTCTTATTAAGCTTTCATGCCATTTACAAAATTTTTATCCAAGAATTACATCGGCAGTCGTAAAATCTTGTTGTAGTAAAATAAATAAATCAATGTTATCAAGATAGTTTGAACCATCACCTGTTAGTTTAGTAGCTGCCTTTTTAAACCTGAGATTCAAAAAAATGAATTATATAACACCTGATAAAAAAATAGGAACTATTATTCATCTTAATATTTCATTTAATATTCAAAATCCATCAACATTTACTAACGAATCGCAGTCTTCAAGTACTAATGCCCCTTCTTTTTTTTCTTCTTTTTATGATGACGATTCTATTACTATAGGTGGAAATCAAAACTTGTCCTCAATTGAAAACGAAATAGCCCTTTATGATAATCTATCTCAAATTCCTAAATATCATGTAACAGACAAAGAATATTGTAAAGTTAATTCATTAGTTTGGTGGAATGAATATAAAGCAATGTTTCCAATTCTTTCTCAACAAGCAAGAAAATACTTACTTTTCTGGCCACATCAGTTCCTTCAGAAAGAGTTTTTTCGAATGCGGGTAATACGATCACTGATAAAAGAAATCAGTTAGATCCTGATACTGTTCATGATATACTATTTCTTAAAGAAAATTCAAAAATCTATAATGTATACCCAGGTTTAGTTTAAAATTGAAATTCGTATACATGAAATAACTAAGGACATAAAAATATTGATATTATAGCGTTAATATAGATATTGAAGAAAAAAAAATTTGAATAATGCAATTTTGCAAAAAAATAAGAACTTGTTCGAATTTCTTTAGATAGAGTATATGCATACGAATATAGATGTATTAGAGTTATAAAAAAAATACTGTATAAAGTAAAATACTCATTTTATATTAGAATAAATCTTAGCGCTATTTTTTTATAATGTGTTCATTTTGGGTCATTGAATTTTCTTTTTGGCGTCGACAATAAACTGAAATTTGTAGAATAAAAAAAACTAACAAGCTACCAAAAAATAATTTTTTGGGTGCGGGTTAGAGGTTAAGGATAGAGTTTAGTTTTGAAGTTTATATTAAACAACAAGTATAAGTACAGAAGTAGGTTAAATAGAAACCCGATCTGTTATTAGATTTGATTCAAGCAAATGAATCGGGTTTCTATTTAACCTACTTCTGTACTTATACTTGTTGTTTAATATAAACTTTAAAACCAAACTCTATCCTTAACCCCTTAACCCGCCCAAAAAAAATTTTTTTTGGTGGCTTGTTCATTTATTGTAATCAAGAATTAGTCAATATAGACATGTGATTAGTGAACTTTTAGCCGCATTAGCCAGCCAACAGCCAGCCAACAGCCAGCTAACAGTTTTATATTAGCTGGCTTAGCCGGCTAAGCCAGCTTAGTCATAGCTGCTCAGCTGGCTTAGTCGGCTAAGCCGGCTTAGCCATGGCTGCTTCAGCCAGCTTAAAACACTACTCTTGGGGTAGTTCCAAAATTTTTTCTGGCACATGATTTTAGCCAATTAGATTGAAGAATCAGGTGTAACATGAAAATTACGCCTTTTACAAAAATCGCCAATAATTTGAAATTTTGTTTATAAAACTGCTTTACATATTCTAACAAAACAAATTCTATGCCCATCCCTTGACTTTAATCCTAACCCTAAGATGATATTTATTGCATTAAATCTTTCACTTATTCGATTGTTTTGTTTTCGCGTATTTGATTGTTTTGATTTTACGTTACACCTGATCTTTCGATCTAATTGGCT